CCGTCAGAAATATTTGGCGATTTTTGTCGGTAGTGTATTTTGGGCATCACCGCCTCATCTCGAATTTTAATAGAATTTATCGTTTTTGCTGTTCAATTTTTTTTGATTGGGGTTATTCGAGCATCATCAGCCGATGATTTTGAGCTTTTGCCCTCCGTCAGTGTGAAACAGTAACAGCGATCTTCCCCCACTTTCCTCAGATTTTCTTTTCCTCAGTTTTCCTCAATTTCCTCAATTTTCCTCAAATCTCAAGTTTTCCTCAAAAAATTTCTCAAATTTTCCTCAAGAAAAAAACCCCTCAAATTTTCCTCAAATCCACAAATTTTCCTCGAACAGTTTCCTCAAAGTATGAATCGTTTCCAATTTGAGTTAGAATCGTTTTCAGTATTTTTTATGGACTTTGGAAAACAATTTTACAGATGAGAAATCATCGAAAGTTACTTCGGCTAAAGGCCGCATTAGAAAACTATTGTTTTAAAGTTGAATTTTTCGAAAATTTTTTTCCTCAAAATTTTCATATTTTTGCAGAATAGCAAAGCCACTTCTCGTGGAAAACAAGCACAGAATGCGCTTTTTGCGCAAGCAGTTGCACGATCAGCGAATAGTGCAGCCGTAACGACATCTACGAAAAATTTATCTGTGCCGATTAATGATGCTGCAACGAAGAATTTGACGGGACCAACTCGAAATAATGTTCAGGTATGGCCAGTGGTCAGTGCGTTGAAGTCTGGACAGATGATGGTCTTCTGCAGTTTTTCCAGCACTTCTTGATTCCCGCCCCTAATCGCACCATATACTGTCTATGTTTACAGTTAAGGGATGAAACACAGGCAGGCCATTTCCTGTATATTCCTTTCCACATGACCTTTTGAAATGTCATACGGTTTTGTGCCACATGAACATCCTTACTATCTTTTCCATCATAACTTATTAAACTAACAATACCATAGGTTAAAATTTTCGGACTATGGCCGTTCCACATTTTTCTTGTTTCGGACCGCCCACTTGTTCCAAAAATTACGGTTCGGCCTACCAGCAGTCGCAAATTATTTTAACAAACTTATCCCACCCTTCAAATTTTAACTTTCTGACCCGGGCCGTTCCACATCTTGATTTCTTTGGGCCATCCACGTGTTTCAAGGTTACTTCTCGGCCTTCTAACAGCCGCGATGTTATTGCCGTTCCGTCCATCTTTGAAACAAGTGAGTGGCCCGAGGCAAAAAAAATGTGAAATGGCCACAGTTTGAAAATTTTAACCAAAAGTGGGATTAGTTTAATAATTTATGGCGGAAAAGCAGTTGACACTATGCCAATTCAAAAACTAGCGGGGAAAAAGTAACTGAAATTTTATTAAAATATTTATTGTTCATATGGTGGAAAATCCTGTGCCTAAATTGACTTTCGATTTGCACTGGCACCGAGACTTAGGGCACTTCAAAGACATTAGTAGCACAAATAGTGGGGCTTAGCTGACACTCATGCTGCATGGGTTTCTTCGATTTCTTTCCTTCATCTTTTCTACTTCATTATTTCCTCTTTATCCTTTAATACAATATTTACACTTAATTAGCGCAAATTGTAATTAATATGAGTTGCATACTTAGGCCGACAATGACATTCGAGCAAACGATGCTTCCGGCCGGGCACGTCAAGTAACTTTTGCGGATAATCCGGATATGTATAGTGATAGTGGTAGTGATGTTGTCTGTTTGAACGGCAGACCAACAGAACAAAACAATCGAACATTGCCGCCGAAAAATGTCCGCTGGAATGAACCATTGGCCACAACTGCAGCACCGCTGGACATTTCACCGGTCTCTTCACATTCTTCAGTTACGGCTGTGAATTCAGATATGGTTGGTTTGTTTGTCTTATTTTTTTAAGTTTGCGCTTTTGCCGCCAATCATTTGAATGAGATATTACGGTTCGGCCTACCAACGGCGGCAAATTATTTTAATAAACTTATCCCACCCTTCAAATTTTAACTTTCTGATTCCGGCCGTTCGACATTTTGATTTCACTGGACCGTCCATTTCTTTTAAGGTTATGATTCGGTTTTTAGGGGGCCGCAGTTTACCATTTCATGAAAATAACACCTGAATCTTGTAATTGTGATATGCCCCCACTTATTTGAATGAGATATTACGGTTCGGCCTACCATCGGTCGCAAATTATTTTAACAAACTTATCCCACCCTTCAAATTTTGGCTTTCTGATTCCGGTCGTCCCACATTTTGATTTCGCTTAATCGTCCATTTCTTTTAAGATTACGATTCGATACGGCCTTCTGACGGCCGTAATTTATCGTTTCGTTAAAATAATGCCTGAATCTTACAATTATATAATCGTAGTTATGAAATGTGGTCACTGATGAAAGCAGAAGAGCGTAGCGGAGACAGCAGTGAAGCGAAGAATGTTTGGATCTGTCCTGCCTAATGAATAATTTTTTCATATTTTTCAGCAACTTATATTGACTGAGAAAAATTTGGTCGGCCGAGCATCGTTATATCGTGGAAAAAACGATTTCACTGTCTACACACTAACACACTGTGGTTGTCATTTCTACGAATATTGTAACACGGATACACGTTGGGTACATTCAAGCAGACGCTATCAGGTTATTTGCCAATTACGACCAATAAAAATCACCTAAGAGTTACACATAAAAGTTATACATATCTAGACATACGTAACTTTTATACATATTTTAATATATGTAGAAAAAATCGTCATAATAGTTATATAGTTGTACAGTTACGCATATTTAAAAATATGTAAAAATCATCATAAAAGTTATACAGCTCAAGATCGAATGGCCTGGCATGGCTGTATGGGCTTGTCATCATCCCAGTAACCTGCCCAAGTGCGACACCGCAAATTTAAATTCAGCCTTCTCCTACGTCAAGGTGTCACGTAAGACTCCGTGAATAGTAGAGTAAGAAGATTGGAATTAGGTGTCATGTATAAGAAGACATTTCACGATGCAGTCTCTCTGTATTTCATCCCTTAGCTGTATACACAGACCGAATAATGCATGCGTATAGGAGGGGAAATCGTCAGTACAGCCTTCTACTCGTCATGTATTGAAAGGACATGTAACTAATTTGCAAGAAGAATAATGAAAGAAAAGGAGAAGGAGAGAAAGTGTAATAGCATGAAAGTAATAAGAGTGGTAGGACAGAAACTGCCAAAATGGGATCTGTAAACTGAATGTTTGATTAGATTTGATATTATCGCCTTGTTATTGTTTTTGCCAATCAATGATTTGAGGATATTTCAGACAGGGAAGTTATTATTATTATAAGCAATATTTTAAGTTTATTGAGGATCGAGTGCGGTGTTTTTTTTTCGCTGTTTCCAAGAGATTAGCATTTTTTTGGCTTACAATTAGGATTTGCCTCGTTTCACGTCGTAAATCATTCTATGGCTGATAGATACCTAGGTGTTTTTTAAAGATTTTTTTTTTAATTTTTTTCCTACAGGTAAATTATTTTGGACAAGCAGGCGCAACAACCGTGGAAATTGATGGTGGTAAATTGGTTGTTCGACATTTTTTGAGTGGT